CAAAGCTGAAGGTGGGCATGTGTGTGACAGACACAGGAAAAAATACGTAAGTAAACAAAATGGAGACAACCAATTTACTAGGTATGGAGTTCAAAACACTGGATATAAGGATGTTCAAGGAACTCGGAGAGAACTTCAACAGCATAAAAAAAAGACATGGAAACCATAAAAAAAAACAACAACCAACCCAGTCAGAAATAAAGGATACACTAACTGAAATGAAGAATAATTTACACGGAATCAGCAGTGGACTAGAGGAAGCCAAGAATCAAATCAGTGATTTAGAACACAAGGAAGCAAAAAAACCACCCAATCAGAACAGCTAAAAGAAAAAGGAATCCATGCGCTGGCTATGTAGCTCAGCAGATTGAGCAACAGGCTGAGAACCAAAGGGTCACAGGTATGATTCCCACCCAGTCAGGGCACATGCCTGGGTTGCAGGCAGGCCAGGTCCCCAGTGGGGGGCATGCAAAAGGCAACCACACATGGATGTTTCTCTTCTTCTCTGTCTCTCTCCCTTCCCCCTCTCTAAAAATAAATGAAACCTTTAAATAAAAAGAAAAAGGAACCCCCCAAAAATAAGGATAGTGTAAGGAACATCTGGAACAACTTCAAGAAAAGCAACATTCACATCATAGGGGTGCCAGAGGAGAAGTGAGAGAGTAAGAAATTGAAAACCTATTTGAAAAAATGACAGAAAATTTCTGTAACGTGGTGAAGAAAACAGACATACAAGTCTAGGAAGCACAGAGTCCCAAACAAGATGAACCCAAAGAGGCCCTCATCAAGACATTTATTTAAAATGCAGAATGTTAAAGATAAAGAGAAACCACAGTTTCTCTTTATCTTTAGCAGGAGCAAGAGAAAAGCAGTTATTAACCTAAAAGGGAGCTCCCATAAGAGTATCAGCTGAGCCATGACTGGTGTGACTCAGTGAATTGAACAGAAGCCTACAAGCTGAAAGGTCTCCAGTTTGATTCGCTTTCAGGGCACATGGCTGGATTGCAGGCCAGGTCCCCAGGTGGGGGCATGCAAGAACAACTAACTGATGTTGCTCTCCCACTCTCTCTCCCTCCCTTCCCTTCTCTCTGAAAACAAATAAAATCTCTAAAAAAAAAACAAAAAAAAAACTGTCTACTGATTTCTCAACAGAAACATTTCAGGCCAAAACAGATTGGCAAGAAATATTCAAAGCGATGAAGAGCAAGGACCTACAACAGAGATTGCTCTGCCCATAAACCTATCATTTGAATCAAAGGACATAAAAGAGCTTCCTAGAAAAAGAAAAGTTAGAGTTCATCACCACCAACCAGTATTACATGAAATGTCAAACGGTCATTTCTAAGAAGAAAAAAAAATTAAAAATATTAATAATAACATGGCAATAAATATATATCTACCAACAACTGAATCTAAAAGACAAAATAATTGAAGAAAAGATGGGCAGCATAATCTCAGACATTGCTCATAGCAATATTTTATGAATATATCTCCCTAGGCAAGGGAAACAAAAGAAAAAAATAAATGGGACTACAACAAACTAAAAAGTTTTTGCACAGCAAAGGAAACGATCAACAAAACAAAAAGACAACCCACTGAATGAAAGAACACATTCACCAATTCATCTCAAAAGGAGTTAACATCTACAATTTATAAAGAACATTCAAAACCCAACACCAAAAAAACAACCCATTAAAATATGGGCAAAGGCACAGGGTCCTGAACCATACACAAACCCGCCCACTCGGGAATCAGCACCAGAAGGGCCCAATTTAGTTGTGGGTAGCGGGGGAAGTGACTGAAACCCAGCTGAGAGTGGAGCAGACACCATTGTTCCCACTCAGATCCCTCCCCCACATACAGCATCACAAGTAGCAGCGAAGTGGGCTTCCCCACCCTGGTGAACACCTAAGGCTCCGCCCCTCACTACGTAACAGGAGTGTCAAGACAAAAAAAAATTGGCCCAAATAAAAGAATAGGTCAAAAAATACAATTAAGTGACAAAGACGTAGCCAACCTATCATATGCACAGTTCAAAACACTGGTAATCAGGACGCTCACAGAACTGGTTGAATTTGGTTGCAAATTAGATGAAAAAAATGAAGACAATGCTAAGTGAAATAAAGGAAAATATACCGGGAATCAATAGTGATAAAAAGAAAACTGGGACTCAAATCACAGTGCGGACCAAAAGTAAGAAAAAAACATCTAATCAGAAAAGAATGAAGAAATAAGAATTCAAAAAAATGAGGAGGAACCTCCAGGACATCTTCAAACATTCCAACATCCGAATTATTCAAGAAGGGGAAATGGAAAGGCAACAAGTGGAAAAGTTATTTGGACAAATAATAAAGGAGAACTTCCCCAATCTGACAAAGGAAATAGACTTCCAGGAAATCCAGGAAGCTAAGAGTCCCAAAGAAATTGGACCCGAGGAGCACACCAAGGCACATCATAATTATATTACCCAAGATTAAAATTAAAGAGAGAATCCTAGTAGCAGCAAGAGATAAGGAGGCAGTTACCTACAAAGGAATTCCCATCAGACTGTCAGCTGATTTCTCAAAAGAGACTTACAGGCAAGAAGGGGCTGGAAAGAAGTACTCCAAGTCCTGAAAGGCAAGGAGCTACATCCAAGATGACTGTATCCAGCACAGCTTTAATTAGACTGGAAGGGCAGGTAAAGTGCTTCTCAGATAAGGTCAAGTAAAAGGAGTTCATCATCACCAAGTTCTTATTATATGAAATGTTAAAGGTACTTATCTAAGAAAAAGAAGATAAAAAATATGAACAGTAAAATGACAGCAAACTCACAATCATTAATAACCACACCTAAAACAAAAACAAAAGCAAACTAAGCAAACAACTAGAGCAGGAACAGAACCACAGAAATGGAGATCACATGGAGGATTATTAACAGGGGAGTGGGAAGGAGAGAGAGAGGGAAAAGGTACAGAGAATAAGTAGCATAGACAGTAGGTAGAAAATAGACAGGGGGAGGGCAAGAATAGCATGGGAAATGTAGAAGCTAAAGAACTTACAAGTATAACACATGGACATGAACTAAAGGGGGTGAATGTGGGTGGGAGAGGGTGTGCAGGGTAGAGGGGAGTAAAGGGGGGGAAATGGGACAACTGTAATAGCATAATCAATAAAATATATTTTAAAAAATGGGCAAAGGACCTGAATAGGCATTTTTCCAGAGTACATACAAATGGCCAACAGACATATGAAAAGATGCTCAACATCACTAATCATCACAGAAATGCAAATTAAAACCACAATGAGATATCACCTCATACCAGTCAGAATGACTATCATCAGTAAATCAACAATTAAGTGCTGGCAAGTAGGTGGACAAAGGGGAACCCTTTTGCACTGCTGGTGGGAATGCAAACTAATGCAGCCACTGTGAAAAACAGTATGGAGATACCTCAATAAATTAAAAATATATCTATTTTTTGACCCAGTGATCCCACTGCTGGGAATATGTCCAAAGGAACTCAGAACACTAATTCAAAAGAATATAAGCATCCTTATATTCCCTGCAGCATTATTTACAATAGCCAAGATATGGAAACAGCCCAAGTGTCCATCAGTAGATGAGTAGATAAAAAAATACTATGGGACATTTACACAATTAAATACTATTCAGCTGTAAAAAAAATAAATAAATAAAGTTTTACCCTTTACAACAGTATGGATAGACCTGGAGAACATTATGCTAAGTGATATAAGCCGCTCACAGAAAAACAAATACCATATGACTTCACACGTATGTGGAATCCAATGAACAAACTGAACTAATAAGCGAAGACAAGACAGACTCATACATAGAGAGCAGGATGACACCTAAAGCTGAGGAGGTTAGAGGGTGGAGGGGATTGATCAAAAAGGAAAAAGGAGCCCTGGCTGGCGTAGCTCAGTGGATTGAGCGCAGGCCTGCGAACTAAAGGATCAGGGTTCGATTCCCAGTCAGGGCTCATGCCTGGGTTGCAGGCCAGTTCCCAGCAGAAGACACACAAAAGGCAACCATACATTGATATTTCTCTCCCTTTCTCCTTCCCTTCCCCTCTAAAGATAAATAAATAAAATCTTTTTTAAGAAAAGGAAAAAGGATTCATGGACATGGACAATAATGTGGTGATCATGGTGGGAGGAGAAGGGCCTAAGAGGACTCAATGGTAATGGAAAAAAATACAATTAAAAAAATTTTTTAATTAAAAAATAAATCATTACCATCAACAGAAAAAAATATGAGTAACACAATGGTAATAAATATATACCTATCAACAAATGAATCTAAAAACAAAATAAATGAAGCAGAACAGAAAGAAACTGACAGATGCAGAGAACATTTTGATGGTTACCACTGGTAGGGGGATTGGGGAGATGAGTGAAAAATGTGAAGGGATAAAGAAGTACAAATCAGTACTTACAGAATAGTCATGGGGATGGATGTAAAGTACAGCATCAGGAATATAGTCAATAATGTTCTAATAACTATGTATGTTGTCAGATGGATACAAGGTTTATGAGGATGATCACTTAGTTAAGTTATGTAATACTGAATCACTGGTGTATATGCCTAAAACTAATATAATATTGTATTTCAACTATAATTTAAAAATTAAAAAATGAGCCCTGGCTGGTGTCGCTCAGTGGATTGAGCATGGGCCTGCAAACCAAAGGGTCACTGGTTTGATTCCCAGTCAAGGCACATACCTGGGTTGCAGGCCGGGTCCCCAGTGGGGGACACATGACAGGCAACCACACATTGATGTTTTTCTCCCTCTCTTTCTCCTTCCCTTCCCCTCTCTCTAAAAGTAAATAAATAAAATTTTTTTAATTATTAAAAAAATTAATTCTAGGATATAAAACACAACTATCTTCTCATCAGTAATCAAGCATCGCAATTAAGTATGGAAGAAAGGAGAGTCAGCTTCCTGCTGAGTTTCCTGAAAATGCCTCCCCATGAAGCTGCCCAGGGCTTCACTCACTTGTAGAGCAGGCTGGGGGCCTTCACGGTACACTGGAAACCTTGCTCGGTCTGCACCACCTCGTAGCCATCACAGGGCTCTTCTGCACACTCCACGAAGCCTGCACAGAAACGGTAACACGCTGCTCAGAGCTGCTGCTCTGTGGACAACAGCCTTCTCCTCAGCTGTCCACCACTCTCAAGGTTTAAAAAAAGTAACACACTCATACAAAGAAAAGCCAGACATTTTACATTGCAAAACGCTGCTCTAATATTTCTTGTGATGTGCTCTTAGAAGAAAAATAAAGAATAAGAAACGCATGACTATTTCAAATCTTCCTGTCTTGGAACCTTGGAAAAGTAGTATGTACATTCCACTGTTTCTCCCAATTGTTTTCTCCCAGAAAGCTAAGACAATTTTAAAAGCTTTACTGTTTTTTTAGAGAGATGTAATTCACATAACATAAAATTTATCCTCTTAAAATGTACAACTCTGTTGTTTTTAAGACACAAAATTTCTCCAGTGACTAATGTATGAGTGATGCTGAGAGAACTTAATAACAGCAGAGACAAAGTGAAATAAAGGAGAGCAAAGGCCCCAAGGGCGTAGGGACACAATGGGGAACCTCAGGGGGATGACTAAACTACAAGGTTTAGGGCCCAGTGAAAAAGCTTATAAAGCAAAAGGAAAATAGAGAACATGAAAGGCCCTGCCCATTTATGTATTAAACTAAAGCCCAAGTTAATTAGTCTGAAAATATTTATAATCCATCTTGACTATTTAGTGCCTCGGCCCAGCCGCAGCAGGGTCCAGGGATTCCCAAAGGTGGGTAAGGCGCTGGCAATGGGTAACAGACAACAACACGCCTCAAAGGACAGTGAAGCTCTGTTCCGTTTATTGCAAGTACAAGTAGGTTTTTATATTTTCATTTTAGGTAGTGATTAACATTTGCAGCATAGCATGATCAGTTAAGTAAAAAACCAATACAAAAAAATCAATACAAAGGTAACCAGGAAAAATATAAGAATTTCCGTAATTTCAGTTATGTTAAACAAAAGTTGTTTTGACCAGGAGAACCATTAATCAGACAATTTGAACTAGCTCTATGTACAGAGTTTGAATGTCTTATTGTTTATTAAAGGTCTTAGAATCTGGCATGGGGCAAAAGGTATGCTAGATCAAGCAGAGGTTAGGAAATTTATTACAAGGCCTTTGTGATGTCTAACTTAGCTATCTAGCCTTTTCTGTCTAAAATGTTTCTCTGTGTACTATGAACTGACTCCCTAGTAACTGTTTCTATGTGTTTAGTTTGTAATAGTTAACCAGCCTTTTTTAATATTTCTTTGCCTGTCTAACTGATATATATTCTTATTCAAGGTAAAGGAGGGGCTGTTACTCCAACTTTTAGACATTCAGGGGCTATTTCATTAGAGGGGATTTTGTTCTCTGGTCAAGAAATTATTTTGTACAACTTCATTGGAATTATGCTCATCAATGAACCTGAAATACAAGTGTCTAACAATCCCACCACCTTTTGATCACCCAAACAAACATGAAAGGAGAGATAGACAGGAAATCCAGCCACAGTTGCCTCTGCCTTGCAGATGCATCTCAACCGTCCCGACCTTGTCAAGGGACGGTTGCTGGACGGCTCCTGACAATTTAGGTTGTTGGGTTCTTTTTAAGATTTATTTATTTTTAGAGAGAGGGAAAGGGAAGGAGAAAGAGAGGAAGAAAAACATCAATGTGTGGTTGCCTCTCCCATGCCTACTGGGGACCTGACCCTCAAGCCAGGCATGTGCCCTGACTGGGAATGGAACCAGCAACCCTTTGGTTTGCAGGCTGGCACTCAGTCCACCAAGCCACACCAACCAGGGCTTGCTTAGTTTATTTCTTAAAATTATTCCTACACAATAATAAAGTTGTGAGCTTGGAACTGCCTATATATGATTACAAAAAAAAGAAAAATAACAGTAAGAATAGCTAACATTATTGGGCACTGGATAAAACACTTATGTTCATTTATTTCAATAATTTATATATATTACCTCACAACTTTACAGATAAAGGAAGTTACTTTTGCCACAGAATATTAATGGTTAAATTAATAGTTAACTAAAATAGCGCCTTATTACACTTAAGCCTTTGTACAAATATGAAACACGAACTGCAACCGAAAACACTTAAACAACTCAAACACATCTGTCCCCTTGACATCAACACAAATCTATGAAAAGCCAATCATTTCAAATTTCCCTATGCACAAAGAAACACATTGAAACAAAACAAAGGATGGCTTCTACAATAGAGAGAACTTTTACTTCTAATCAGCCCAAAGAGCAACTAGGATTACCTTGATAGAAGTCCTCATCCTCTTCTTCATGTTGGTATGTCTGTTCTTGAATGGGATTCTTTCTATAAATCCGTCCCCCAATTCTTATAAGCTGTGGGCGCAGAACTTCCATGATATGTTCCCAAATAATATTTCAGTGAAATCCTGAAAAAATAAGTAATCACCTTACCTTTTTAAAAAAAAACTTCATTCATTTATCTTTAGAAGGGAAGGGAAGGGAAGGAGAGATGGAGAGAAATATCAATGCATGGTTGCTTCTCCTGCACCCCTGCTGGGAACAAGCCTGCAACCCAGGCACGTGCCCTGACTGGGAATCAAACCGCAGTCTTTTGGTTCACAGGCCCATGCTCAATCCACTGAGCTACACCAGCCAGGGGATCACCTTACCTTTTGATCAGAGAGAAAAAACAGCCCTGGCTGGTGTCACTAAGTAGAATGAATGCTGGCCTGAAAACTGAAAGGTCACCAGTTCGATTCCCACTCAGGGCACATGCCTGGGCCACAGGCCAGGTTTCCAACTGGAGACATATGAGAGGCAACCAATTGATGTTTCTCTCCTTCTCTTTTTCCCTCCCTTCCCCAACCTCTAAAAAAATAAATAAAATCTTTTTTTCAAAAAAGAAAGAAAACCCCTCATTTTACAGATCATTATGTAGGCCTGAAAGGACATAATTGGGCATCTGCTCACAGTACATCTTAAGCAAAAGCAGCACTATTTCCATTAGGCCTCCCTTCTTTGTAATCTGTTTTAAGTCGACCAGTGCATTTTCCATTACATATTTCATTCCTGGCTCATGCTACACAGTAATTTGTAAACTATTCAGCTCTCCAAAAAAAAAAAAAAAAAGGTGATTGAAAGATTCTGAGCCCTTTATATACACCTTGTCCACGGTTTTGAAACAAAGAGTATAAGTCTGTTTATTAAACCTAAAAGGAATACAGTGCAACCTTCTGTGTTTAACCACTTGCAAAGTGTTTCACCCTGTCTGTACAGCATGAAAATTGAGAATTAAGGATATTAATACACTTATTTATCCTTGGGGGGCGGGGAAGCCTCTAGTACTTTCAGAAGTACATGAAATATACACCCAACAATTAGATCCAGTTGCCTAGAAAACCATTAGGTTAGGTTAAAATATAACCTAACCAACATGGTTCTTCAAACCAATACATAGCTGAGGGGAGGAATCCAATTTCCAGAGACCACTGCCCAACAAAATGCACCACTTGCTAAGAAGCCAAGCTTCTAGTCACAACTCAAGGAATCAATTCAGGAAACAAGGGTTATTATGGGCTGGCTGTGTTTAAGTTCAACCAATATTCCTACCACATAGGTTGGAGGGTCTTGAAGCCCAAAATACAGAGTTCCAAAGAAAACAGATCAATCCTTAACAAATACACTAACAGTCCAATCCCCAGCAACTAAGTCACTTTAATTGGCAGTTTGTGTACAGAACCAAGGAGCGATTTGTGTTGTGAGAAATAACAGACAAGGAAAAGAGACCTGAATGGAGAAGAGGGAGCATTAATTAGCATAGTTCAATGATACTCCATTCTACTTTCTCCAAGAAAAAAGTTCTCCACAGATTTTAATGTCACAGGCCCTCAGACCAGGAATTCTGGAAGAGTCGCCTCAGAAACAGCACACTCCTCACCTGCCCTCCCTTAACCTGCCGACCGTGGGTTAAGAAACTGCTCAGAAGGACAATTTAACCCTACTACGGGGTGGTGTGTGGAGTGAAAAGAAAGCAGAAGCCCTGAACCATGAAAGCGAGCAAGAAAGACAAGTACTCCAATGTAACCGAAGAAGGTTCCGCAGCTGGAGGTAAACCGTAGTAAGGAGAGGAGGTAAAAAAAAAAAAAAAAAAAAAAAAAACACGGAAGTCCACTCCGGAAGTGCGTTATCCGCGCCTTTCCGCCCAGGCCACGCCCACCACTGCACGGGCGCGAGCACGCCGACATCTTTGTCGGTGTGTGCGCGACCGCTCGGGCTGGCCCTGGGGGCGGGGCTGTAGGGAAAAGGGCCAAAACCGTTGAGGTAAGTTGCTGAAGGCTCGGGGACTGTCAGGAGCTTGGTGGAAAGGGAGTTCATTCTTGGGAGCCTACCTGCAAACACTAGAAAAATGGAGAAGGTAGGAGAAACCGGAGCTTGCCGCCGAGGGCGTGTAATAGGAAATCTCAGGCCCCGACGGGTTGGTTGCGCATGCGTGCCTAGTATTGGCGCATGCGCGGCGGCCCCTTGGGAAGCCGAAGGGAGCTGGGGAAGTGTCGTTTGGAATTAGCTTGGGAACCTCTGGCGATCTGACCCCTTCCTATTCCATCCCACCTGGTTTTAGCTGCAGCACCTGTTTTAAAGGTAATCCAGCTATTTACGTGGGACACAGTGGAACGATTTGTTGATGAGGTTTAGTGATCGCTTATAATAATTTGCCATTGTACCACGGTACCTCTTTTAGCGTCTTTTGACTGAGACTTTTTTAAAAGAAAGGAGACTTTACAAACAAAATAGGCATATATCTGCCGGGAAGGAAAGTAGTTTATGAATACGAGGTGCTCTTTGTAGTATATAAAGTAAATATTTAGTCATCTTAATGTGAACACAGCCATTCTGTTACTCCCCCAAGATAGCATTGCTCTCCTATGAGAATCTGTTTTGCCAGTAGTCCCAGCTTCCCTGATAAAACCAAACCCCAGATTATTTCATCAGTATTCATTCAACAAAAATCTTACTGAGCCACCCACTTGGGCATGGCAGGCTAGTAGAAGGTTATGTAAATAGAGCCACAGAATGAAGCAGAAAAGAGAACAGTAACAGACCAACCCTCATGACGCCAAGTTTCTCTGTCACCTTCATAACCTTTGCTGGGCTGCTAGCCCTGTGTTCTGTCCTTTATTCGTCATTCATGCAGGAAACATTGTGGTCTAGGTGCTGTGCTAGGTGTTATTTTCTACTTGGCCATGTTGACCAGAATTCTGTGCTATGGCTTGAAGGTGAAAAACAACTCCCTCCCCCTTTCCTAGATTACAGGATTTTTCCTAAGATTATGCACCTTAGAATGGAAGTACGAAGTGCATCGATGGAGGGCATTTTCCTCTTCCTGTGCAAACCCTTCTTTTCTCCTCTAGGAGTTTGCTGACCCAATGTCAAATTGAGAATTAGAGAATTGGAACTTTTCCCATGAGTGTTATTACAACATCATACATATGAAAACTAGATCTGCATAGGAAAAAAAGGTTCAAGAGTACATATCCATTAGAGATTTGGGATAGCTAATATTATTAAGTATTTACTGTGCCTGTAGCTGTTCCAAATGCTTTAGTTATGTTAACCTTCAGAACACCTTTGAGATAGTTACTAACTACTACTGTCCCCATTTTACAGATGAGGCAGCTAAGGAACAGAGAAGTTAAGTGATTTGTCCTGTGAGTCATACAGCAAAACTGGGACATGAACACAGGCCTAGAGGTTTCAGAACCTGAGCTCTTAACTGCTATTTCACCTCACTTGGTACATGACATGCCAACAAAGCCATTGCTTGAAAAATGTCACAGCAAATAAGCTAAATTCTATGTCTCAGTTTCATGTTGTCACCTATAAAATGGAGTTGGATTAAGTGACTTTTTTTAGATTTATTAATCTTGAGGGGAAGAAGGAGAGAGGGAGAGAAACATCAACCCGGCAAGCCACGCCAGGGCTTGGATTAAGTGACTTTTAAGGAATCTTGTGATTCCTGTGAAATGTTTAGTTTATGTAGTAAACATTTATTTAAATCAACAGCCCCTTAGAATAGGCCAGACATTGTTTGGTTCTGATGATCAGAATGCCTGCCTTCATAGAGCAGTTACAAACTAGGCTTTATCCTAACTCCTGTTACCACCTGCTAATGGCATTCAAAATTCAACCTGAATATTTTTTTAAAGATTTTTATTTATTTAGAGGGGAAGGGAAGGAGAGAAACATCAGTGTATGGTTGCCTCTCATGTGTCCCCCTCTAGGAACTGGCCTACAATCCAGGCATGTGCCCTGACTGGGAATTGAACCATGATCCTTTGGTTCACAGGCCCACACTCAATCCACTGAGCTATTTCAGCCGGGGCTCAACCTAAACCTTTAAAGTTTGAAATTACTTAGGTATGTCTTTCCATCTCAGAAAAAAAAAAAAACCTGCTTGTTTATGTTAAAATTAGCTTTGTGCTCATTCTCCCAGTTTTCAACCCTGATTCTTTTGTGTATTGAATGATAGTAGTAGTTCTGCATTGGAAAAAAAAAAAGGATTAATAGGGAATTTCTTTGAATATATTCGTTTAGAAGTCACACTGTATCTAGCCTTTGAAGCTGTCTTCACTCTGGCAGTCAGCTTGAGTGCTCTGCGGAGAAGCTTGATTTCAAAATACAAAGTATCCCTTACATCAGTTTCCAGTCAGGGCACATGCCTGGGTTGCAGGCCAGGTCCCCAGTAGGGGAGACATGAGAGGCAACCACACATTGATGTTTCTCTCCCACTCTTTCTCCTTCCCTTCCCCCTCTCTAAAAAATAAATAAATAAAATATTAAAAAGTAAATAAAATTTTTTAAGTATCCCTTACATTTGCAACTGAATAAAGCATATATCAGGTGTAGGAAAAAGATTAAAGTCTTAGGTGAGGTATATAAACAGTTCACAGTGGGTTCTATTCGGAACTGATGGGAAGGAAGACTCTCCAAAAGATAGCAATGTTGTCTATATACTTTATTTAGATCCCAGTAGGAGTCCACTTAGAAATTTGGACCTGGTCTATTACTGCTTAAGTTCTTTTTAAATAAATTTTAAGACTTGTCAAGCTATATTTTGAGCCAATATAGTCCAAAGGATTGGATGTGAATCTAACTTCAAAAGGTGTTGCCTCTATGAGTATGAATACAATTTGGGAAGTTACAGAACTCAGAGGAAAAAAGGAAAGGTGATCTAATACAACACTGAAAATGTCACCCTGGCTGGTGTGGCTTGGTTGGAGCATCATCCCATAAACCAAAAGGTGGAGGGTTCAACCCCGGTCAGGGCACATAGCCAGGTTGCTGGTTTGGTCCCTCCAGGGGCTTACAGAGGCAGCCAGTCGGATTGACTGTGTTTCTCCCACATCTGTGTTTCTCTCCCTTCCTACCCCTCTCCCTTCCTTCCCCTCTCTAAAATCAATGGGCATGTCTGCAGGTGAGGATTAAAAAATTTTTTAAAGATTGAAAATGTTATTAATCAGTTTGCATTTTTAAATAGGCTGACATTCTAATTATACCAGTTGCCTTACTCTTCCCACATCCCACTGTAGTATTAATCAGAATTACTTAAAAGACATATAATGAAATGAGAAACCCGGGTCTGCTCCCCTCGCAGCCTTAAATCATCACCGCAAAATTAAGGAAACACAATGGCCAGATTTTCAGAAATGCACAGTACAATTTTTCCCTTGCTAGGAAACTGGGTTATGCATATACCTCATATAGGATTTATATCTGCATAGCTTTTCCTCATTTTTTCAAAAATAAGTTTCAGGGAGGTGGAAGTGGCGAAACAGGATAAGTGGTGGCAGAGAGAGACTTGACTTTGGGTGGTGAATGCATGATTCAGATGCAGATGATGTGCTGTGGAGGTGTACTGGAAACCTGTGTGGTTTTATTAACCAGCGTCACCAAAAGAAATTCAGTAAAAATAAATAAATTCAAACATTTTATAACAAACTTATTTTGCACCTAGCAAAATTAAAAGTTCCGCTGAAATTCTCTCTGGCCATTGCAAGGGAGAATTCATTCTAAAAATTCATTTAAAGTTATTTTTATCTTTTTTTAAATTGAGCTAAAATTCACATAACAAATTAACCAGTAGCCATTTTAAAGTGTACGGCTCAGCCCTGACTGGTGGGCTCAGTGGATTGAGCAAGCAGCCTGCAAGCCAAAGAGTTGCCTGTTAGATTTCCAGTCAGGGCACATGCCGTGGTTGCAGGCCATGTCTCCAGTAGGGGGTGCAGGAGAAGCAACCACACACCAATGTTTCCCTCTCTCCCTCCCCTCTGTCTAAAAATAAAATAAAAATCTTCAAAATAAAAATAAAGAGTATAGTTCAGTTTAAAGTCATTTTTTAATCTAAATACTAAAACTGCACTTTTCAATACGGTAACCACTAGCCACACGTGGATACTTAAATTTCAATTAAAATTAAATAAAATTTAAAATACAGTTCTTAAGTCATACTAGCTTAATAAGCCACGTGAGGCTAGTGGCTACCATGTTGGACAGGCAGAAATAGGACATCAGAAAATTTCTATATTGCAGAAAGTTCTGTTAGCACAGTACTGGACCATTTTTTAAAGAAAACATGCTTTATAGAATCTTTTGTAAATGTACAGCATAAGCTTCTGTGGCAGAGGTAGTATTTTTGTTTTGAACTTTTGCAAGGAGTCATGTATTCAGTTTTCTTCAGCATTTGGACTTCTTGACTTTTCGATAGGACAAGGGATGAAATGCTCTACAGCTGCTCCAATCCTGATTTATGAATTCTGAATTAATTCCCTGAACTACTTTGTTCCAATCTTGGGACGCCACCAAGTGATCAATTTCTGTATTACATTTTGGTAGAAAGGGTGTTTTTTTTTTTTGTTTTGTTTTTTTAAGATTTTATTTATCTTTAGAGGGGAAGGAGAGAGGGAGAGAAACATCAATGTATGGTAGCCTCCCTTGTGTCCCCCTGCTGGGAACTGGCCTGCAACACAGGCATGTGCCCTGACTGGGAATTGAACCGTGATTCTCTGGTTCGCAGACCTGCGCTCAATCCACTGAGCTACACCGGCCAGGGCTAGTTTTTTTTTTTAATTTTAAGTAAAAGGGCCAGTATGTATTTTCTAACCACTTCCCCTTCCTTGGGAACAGAACACAATGTTATTCTGGGATATTTGGAAAATTTTATAAGTGAATTTTTGCTGTGGCTTGGTCAGGATGTATCCAAGACAAACTGTCCTGTGAGGCATGGTTGTCTTATCCTCATATAATTTATTTCCTCAGTCAAATTGCCACCTTGGCACAGCCCCGTCACCCCTCATAACCCATAGGTCACCCCTTATAACCCGTAGATCACCCACAGTCAGTGCCAAGCGACATAAACAGTTTACTAATGGTAGGAAGTAGTGTTTTAAGTAGAAAAACTAAGAATAAACATATCTTCATTTAAAATCCTAAGTGACATTTTGGCCTGGGGCATCAGTAAAAGATTGCAGGAGTAGAGAAGGTAGAAAACAGGGCCCCTGACCAGTGTGGCTAAGTTGGTTGGGCGTTGTTCCACAGAGCAAAAAGCTGCTGGTTCGATTCCTGTTTAGGGCATGTACTTGGGTTACCAGTTCAGTCCCCAGTTGGGGCATGTACAGTAGGCAAGCAGTTGAAGTTTCTCTCTCACATCCATGTCTCTCTCTTTCTCCCTGTCTTCCCCTGTCTCTAAAAATAAATAAAATCTCTTTACAAAAAGAAGGGGGAGCTAATTTTTTACTAAACTTACACTAGCTTTTGCGACAGCTAGAATGAAATGTAGTCAATCTCACTCCCCTAAATTTGCCAAATTGCTGTTTTTTTATCTCTGCAGTGAAGTGAGAATTCTACTAGAAATGAAATGGCTGCCTCTTCATCGTCCTCCTCAGCTGGCGGGGTCAGTGGAAGTTCTGTCACCGGATCTGGTTTCAGCGTCTCTGACCTGGCCCCGCCTAGGAAAGCCCTTTTCACCTACCCCAAAGGAGCTGGGGAGATGTTAGAAGGTGACCTCATGCTGCTTTTTGCTGATAATTGGGTTGAAACCTGCAATGAATGTTAATTGTAAAGACGCTATTAAGTGGATTAGAGAAGAATTTGCCCTGATTTCAGCTCCGCATTTCATCTTTCGTCCCCATTTCAAAATAGTATCTTTAAAACACAGATCTCCAGAATCAGAACTTTGGAGCTGAAAAAAAAATCTTTGGAAATCGAGGAGGTCATCTAGAGTTTATTTAGACCTGGAAAAGGTAAAGTGATTTGACCATGTTAAAAACATTCAGCCCTGGAACCAGGAATTTTCTTGACCTCCTGCTTCAGTTTGCTTTATCCTGGCACCAGCCTGTCTCCCTATGATTAGTAGGTTTGATGTATTTTGTCTTATGTAGTTAATCTTCAGGTAGATTACCCCATAAAAGAGGTTGTGAGAGGAAATAAAAACTAATAAAAACCTACTTTTATAGGTGAAGATGACAGTGCTGGCGCACTGCAGGACAGTGCTGTGTGGCGTTTCTAGCACTAGAGCGGGGATTTGCATCATCCTGCCCACGATCTTATTCAGCACATATTCGCACACTGGCTGGGCAAGATCAGGGCACAGGCTATAAGCATGGATTGACGTTGGTACCTGGAATTCATCAGGTTCATGTCACTTTAGGAGCTACATCAATAAATTCTTAATGGGAGCATAAAAATCACCTGAAGAGCTTATTGAAATCCACATTTCTGGCCCACATTAGAAATTCTGATTAATCTAGGAGGCAGCACAGAAATCTTCATTTTAACTAATACCCAAGGAGTCCATGAAAATGATCCTTAACTATTAAACTACTTATCATACTTTGAAAAAGGTCAGCAGAAAACCTATTAAGAATTCAATATCTGCTTGATTATAGCATTTTTGTGCTTAATTATACATTGATCTTTTTTGCTTTAAATATTGCAAATTTCAGTAAGTATATCTCTGAGAAAGGTGCAAAGTGTAGCTAGGATTTCATTTGTGGGGTCATTTTTATCCATTTATATCAGGTGTAATGAAAAGCAGAGTTATGGGTTAAGCCAGGGCAAATGGAGGAATCATTTTCATAGGGAAATGTGGGAAGACAGATCATAACGCTTTCTAGGATTAGTTCAAATCCTGATTGGTGAAGTAGATGACAGGATAACATGGTAATACATCTGAAATGCCTGTACTTCTGTCTTTGCTGTTTTCTTTAGTTGTGTTACATTCAAGTTAGTGTCACTGGGTCTAGAGATGATAATCAGGGCCTTGCTGACCATATTTGACACAAAGTATATTATGATTTCAATTATATATAGCAGAGACCTGGTAGTAAGGAAGTTTTCCATAAAACAAAAAAATTGGAGGCATTTACATTGTTTAATGAACAACAACAAAAAAATACATTGCTTAATGAGTTTTATAGCAGCAGAAGAGGAATCATTGTTTAACAATGGGCTTTGAGATTAAATTCTAGCTGTAGCAGGAAACTAGAGATACCTCCTTAGTCTCAGAGCTATTAGCATTCTTTGTCAATATACATCAGATTACTTAGAAACATTAAAAGAGGAAAGACTTCTGAGATTAGTCTGAATGTTGATGTTCCAACAGGTTACAGTTCTGTCCGTTTTTATTCTCTGTGCTTTGTGGAGGAATGCATTGGCTTTCTAGTGTAGGATATATTTATATTATTTAAAATCACAGTGTACGGTCTTGATTCTTTTTCTTAAGTTTAAAGTTTCACCCATATTTTAGTGTTGCTTACACTTGACAGAAATGAAAAATTAGGGCAGTTCCTAAACTGCCCTGGTCAAATCAAGATCATTAAATTGAAAAGAGTACCCCTAACTGTGAATTAGTAAGGATGTTAGATTTAAAAGTCATCTACCATGCTTATTATTCAGTTAATATACCATGTACCTAACCATTATTACAATAGTTTTTTTTATTTTATTTTTAGACAGAAAAGGAGGGAGAAAGACAAGGAAAGAAACATCAATGTGTGGTTGCCTCTTGTTCACCCCCAAATGGAGACCCGGCCCTCACCTCAGGCATGTGCCCTGACTGGGAATCGAACCAATGACCCTTTGGTTTACAGGCTGGCGCTCAATCCACTGAGCCATACCAGCCAGGGCCAGTACTTTAATTGAATATGAAAATAGAGTAGAAAGACTTGCCTGTTCAAAGGAACAAAAACAATCAGGAATCTAGGTTGGATGTTGTTTATAATTTTAACAGGTTCAACCTGATCTGGTATCCTCCTAAGTCTAGGCTAATAAACCCAAATAACCTACAGTTAACCTTGTGAATTAACTTTTTTGTGTACTACCTGCTCTCTGACAACAGATACCTAGCATACACAGTATACAACAATTTTCAGCATTCTCCTGCCCTTGGCTAAGATTGTCCTCACCCAATTATCAGTGAGCAAATTAGACACTGCCTTTCAGGGCAGAATGGCTGGATTTTAGTGACATTGTAGGCCACTGAAGTATAAATTATCTAACATTGTTTAATTTCCTATTGTGAAGTAATTATCCTTTTAAATGAATTTGTTAGCATCTTACTTATTGGAGTAGCAGTGGTATTAGATTTGGATAATTTACTGGAGTTTTCACTATTTATAACCTTTGCTTGTCTCTGAAGAGGAAAGCTGATGTATTGCTACTTGGTGTGTTATAAAGGGTTTGATTACAATTTCTAAATGTAAGACAGATTGCCCCAGGCTGACTCCTCTCTGGACAAATTCCAGGCTTTAGATGAGTACAGATATCACATTTAATAGGATGTGGCTAAGAAGCAGTGGACTTTGTGGTTAATGCAGAGCTGCAAATCAGCAAAAGTGTATTCCACAGGCATATATAGTGGCAAAGGCTTATAGAAAGGCATATGAGGTGCCATTTTGAAAGATTAGCTTACATCCTTTTGCTTGGAAGTTTATTACCAAGGGAAATATGCAAGTGTTATAATTTAAGCATTTTATCCTATAGTGCCAGTGATTAAATATAACTAGAAGGTAGCACTTCCAAGAGCTTCCAAATACATCTCAGCCTGATCCTTAGGGCCCATAATCCCCACTGCCTTGTTTGAGATCCTAAAGTTCAGCACACTTCAGGATCACACCAGCTGAGAAGTGAGCTCTATGCTTTACTATTTCTAAAATAAAACGTGTTATAATTTGACTCTTTAAGCAAGAATATGAATAGATTCATGAACACTGGTATATCTACACAGAAGAGCCGGAATCATTGGTGTCAGATACTCACACAGTTCCTCTTCCTGTACTGGAATTCACTGTTACTTGCAGCCCAATTATCTAAAACTCTCAGTGATACCATCAGCTTACCTAGGCCTTTCAACTGGATAGTCAGTATATTCAGTTAATTGAAAATAATTTTTTGCTCAGTATAGGTGATCTACTCACAGATGACTTAACATTCAGCCAAAGGAATGGGAGTAGGAGGAGAAGATAAGGTCATATCCCATATAGTACAATATGTAGAAAAGAGGTTGAGCCCTGGCTGGTGTGGCTCGGTGGATTGAGCGCAGGCCCGTAAAGCAAAGGGTCACTGGTTCGGTTCCCAGTCAGGGTGCATGCCTGGGTTGCAGGCCAGGTCCCCAGTAGGGGGCATGTGAGAGGCAACCACACACTGATGTTTCTCTCCCACTCTTTCTCCTTCCCATTCCCTCTCTATAAAAATAAATAAATAAAATATTTTTAAAAAAAGAATTCTTTTCGTTTTTTAAGCTTTTATTTATTTATTTATTTATTCTTGTAGAGAAAGGGGAAAGGAGAAAGAGAGGGAGAGTCCTGGCTGGTGTGCCTCAGCTCCCTCCCTTTCTCTAAAAATAAATGAAATATCTTTTTTAAAAAAGGAAAGAAAGAAAGAGCAGGAGAGAAACATCAATGTGTGGTTGCCTCTCACACGCCCCGATCTGAGGACCTGGCCTGCAACTCAGGCATGTGCCCTGACTGGGAATTAAACCGGCAACCCTTTAGTTTGCAGGCCCACGCTTTATCCACTAAGCTACACCAGAGCCCACACTATTCTTAACATCTCCCTATCTGTTTTATACCTACCAATTATGCTCCTTAATCCCTGCACCTTCCCCCAACCCCATATTCCTCCTTCCCCTCATAGCTGAAAACCCTCCAAATGATCTCCATATCTATGATTCTGTTTCTATTCTGGTTGTTCGCTTATTTTGTTTTTGTTTTTTAGATTCAGTTGTTAACAGGTGTGAGTTTGTTGTCATTTTAATGTTCATAGTTTTGATCCTTTTCTTAAATAAGTCCTTTTAACATTTCATGTAATAAGGGCTTGGTGACAATGAACTACATTAGCTTTACCTTGTCTGGGAAGCACTGTATCTGTCCTTCCATTCTAAATTATAGCATTGCTGGATAGAGTCATCTAGGATATAGGTCCTTGCTTTTTATGACTTTGCATACTTCTCACCAGTCCCTCCTTACCTGCAAGGTTTCTTTTGAGAAATCAGCTGACAGTTTTATGGGAACTCCTTTGTAGATAACGCTCTGCTTTTCTGCTTTTCTCTTACTGCTTTTAAGATTCTCTCTTTATCTTTAACCTTTGACTTTTTTTTTAAATATTTTTTTTAATTTTATTTATTTATCTTTAGAAGGGAAGGGAAGGAGAGAAATATCAATGTATGGTTGCTTCTGGTGCACCCCCTGCTGGGAACTGGCCTGCAACCCAGGCATGTGCCCTGATGGGGATAACCTCACATTTTAAATATGATCTGCCTTTGTGTGGTCCTCTTTGGGTCCAACTTCTTTGGGACTCTGTGCTTCCTGGACTTGTATGTCTATTTCCTTCACCAAATTAGGGAAGTTTTCTTTCACTGTTTTTTCAAATAAGTTTTCAATTTCTTGCTGTTCCTCTTCTCCTTCTGGCACACAGATATTGGCATGTTTAAAGTTGTCCCATATGTTCCTAAACCTCTCCTCATTTTTTAAAATTCTTGTATCTTCTATCTGTTCTGGTTGAATTTTTATTTCTTCCTTTTGTTCCAAATCGTTGATTTGAATCCCAGCTTCCTTTCTTTTGCTGTTGGTTCCCTGTAGCTTTTTCTTCATTTCACTTAGTGTATCCTTCATTTCTTCCTTTATGTTATGGCCACACTCAGTGAGTTTTCTGAGTGTGCTGATCACCGGTGTTTTGAACTCTGTATCTGATAGGTTGGCTATCTCTGTTTTGTTTAGTTCTTTTTCTGGGGTTTTGTTCTGTTCTTTCATTTGGCCCATATTTCTTTGCCTCCTCAATTTGGTGTTTTCTTATTCTTATTTCTTATTGTTTACCATGACTTCTGCAATAAGGTCTACCTTGTGTGAAATTCAGCATGGAGCCAGAATGTGTCAGTCCTGACTCCTTGTCACTTAACTCCTGGCTGACACCCCAACGCGTGACTGATGGGCGAGTACTTGGCACCTAGTAGCGCTGGCATGAACTGTCGTCAAACAAAGAGCTGTGTCCTCTCCCTCCATTTGTTTTAGGACTTTTGCAGTAAAATACCTTCTCCAGATGGTTTGAGCTACCCTTCTAAAAGTCACATTTTGCAACATGAACTCTTTGTCTTTTGGGGTGTGTTTTGCTGCATCAGCCCTTGCTGACAGGGAATAACATGAACTCGCTTGTATTTCACAATCACCTTCCAAACGCCGTGGTGACTGGTTAGCTGCCTTCCCGGTGCCAGTTCCTGGCATCAGTACAATGCTAGGTTCTAAAATTGCACTATACTCTTATCGGCATCCAAATTTCAGTGTTTTGGTTCAGTTGGAAAATCAAGGTTACAATTTGCGTTGACGGAATGAGATTTCCCAGCAGTGTTTTGTCATGACCATAGTGATGTCATTTGATATACTAAAAAATCAACAACGGCTATTTTTCCCTCAGCTTACTCTTTAGAATGAAAATGACTTAGAGCTTTGGCATACCTTTGTATTTTGATAGCACAGTGGTCACGTGGCCAAACATGTCAGCCGTCCACAGTGTTTGCCTGACATACAGAATAGAAGAACATTAAGAAATTATCAGCCCTGGCTGGTATAGTTCAATGGATTGAGCACAGGCTGTGAACCAAAGGGTCACAGTTTGATTCCCAGTCAGGGCACATGTCTGGGTTACAGGCCCAGTCCCCAGTGTGGGCCATGTGAGAGGCAACCACACATTGATGTTTCTCCCCCTCTCTTTTTCCCTTCCCCTTGCTCTAAAAAAAATAATAATAATAATAAAAGAAATTATCAAAGCTCTGACCAGGTAGTTCAGTTGGTTAGAGCATCATCCCAATACACCAAGGTTGTGGGTTCAATCCCCAGTCAGAGCACATACAAGAAACAACCAATGAGTGCGTGAATAAGTGGAACAACAAATTAATGTTTCTCTCTCCCCCCGCCCTCCCTCTCTCTCCCTCTTCCTTCCTCTGAAATCAATAAATAAAAACTTTTTAAAAACTATTAGGTTTGGGGATAGGGGTGAATGTTGACCAGGACATGAGACTGAGGTTTCTTGTTTGTTTTTTTAAACACTATTTTTAAGTTCTTAAACAAGTAGAGGAACTATTTTAATATTCTAGGTATAGAAGAAGTAGCTTTTATAACAGACCAGTGTTAGTTCTAAATGAAACAGAAGCCCTCTTTGTAAACACTGAAAAGTAGACCCTGAATGTGGAAGCGGGGAGAAGAATGGGCGTGCCCGCTCGGTTGCCAGCAGTCACAGTGCCCTCGGAGCAGGTGAAAACGCCTTCTCTCTTGTGTGCAGATGGCTCTGAGAGGTTCCTCTGTGAATCTGTTTTCAGCTATCAAGTGGCGTCTACACTGAAGCAGGTGAAACATGGTAAGTACATGAGTGTTGTGTACTTAACTGTGAGAAGAAATGTTTGGGGGGCGGGCAGGTAGAGGGGGCGTCAGAAAGGTCAGTGTGCTTTGTGACAGGCTTCTGAAACTCAGTGAGGCTGTTTAAGTGGACTTGCTAAATTACCTGCAGACAAGAACATTAATCCTTAATCCAGACATAATGCCCTCATTAAGGCTTAAAGTTGCCGTCAAAATGTTTTCTAGGGGAAATGCTTCCTACTCTTGTGTTTTTCTCCCTTCCTTTCTGAAGCCTTCTTTTACCATTCTCCTCCACTGGCTGTCACCATCACTTCATCTTCAAGTGTGTAACACCTCATGATTTACCTGGTCACGGGGTAAAGATCCCGGGAAAACCTTTTCTGTTCCATCTTGCCTTACCAGGCCTCCATTTATTCATCAGGAAACTGTGTTCCCCCACCGGACCATTTCACCATTGAAGTCACAATGTCAGAAGAGCTACAATTGCCTATAACCCTAGGATTTTAGTACACATCACTGTGGCATGGAGGATGCCACGCCACTACTTTAAAACAAATTAAGTATTCAACCCTGGCTGGTGTGGCTCAGTGGATTGAGCACTGGACTCAACCCAAACCAAAGGGTTGCTGGTTCAATTCCCACTCAGGGCACGTGCCTGGGTTGCAGGCTGGGTCCCCAGTAGGGGGCGCATAAGAGGCAACCACACATTGATGTATCTCTCCCTCTTTTTCTCCCTCCCTTCCCCTCTAAAAATAAAAATCTTTAAAAAAAATTAAGTCTTCAACCAACACAGAACAAGACCCCATTGCTAGAATATTGAGGAAAAATCTCCTTATAGAAATGGCTTTTAAACCAATCACTATGTTGGTGGACGGTGGCTGTCTCATGGGAAATGTATTCACTGTAGTACCACCTTGACTCTTTACAGATCAGCAAGTTGCTCGGATGGAAAAACTGGCTGGTTTGGTAGAAGAGCTGGAGGCAGATGAGTGGCGGTTTAAACCCATCGAGCAGCTGCTGGGGTTCACACCCTCTTCAGGTTGACCGTGCCTCCGGTGTGCACAGCAAGCGCAGGGCCAGAGAGGGCCTCCTGCACAGCCCGCGTAGCCGTGCAGAGACTCACAGCCCCATGGCTGGACTGCTCGTTCACATCAATACGTGGTTTCTCTGTAGCTAACCACAAGCAACAAACATTTAAATGTGTCATCACACAGCGAAAATTTGTGTTTATTTGTTTATAAAAAGCATTGAGAATTACATTAAGACAGTCTGCATCAGAGACCCAGGAGGTTTGTGTTTAAGAGATTTATAAAACTTCACAAGCCGGGTAGATCACATGCTGGAACTGGCCGACTAAATGGCTTCCGGCATTCATGCAGTGCATGGCATCCTCACCAGTCAAGTCTAAGTGAGGATCTGGAATCGTAAAATTCAGCATTTCTGACCTGAAACACTTTTTTGCAGGTGAGTGTGATTTCAACTCAGGACCTGTCTAAATGTGGAATTTTTAAATGATTGGCTTTTTTTCCATTTTTAGACATGTAATTCTACAGATTCTAACTTTTTCTGACCTTCTACATGTGCCAGTGCTGGCAAAAAGAACTGTTTTTTGAATATTAAGGTGCATGTAAGAATCAAGTAATGAGCAAAACCCTTTAAACACAGAAATCCTGAGTTCCTCTTGTTGGTGGGGTCAAGCAGTTCTGTAGCAAATAAATCCTTTGAAAGAGCCCCAAATTGGTTTCTTTATCCTTTCAAAGTCTCAGGGATTTGGGATGAAGGGAAAAGGTCAGATTATTTTTTATAAGAATAAAATTTGAAAACCCTTTCTCCTAAACAAATGATAGATTTGCTTTATCTAAGGAATATTTGTCTTTATAAAAGTATATGAATTTATCTTATCAATATCTAAGTAGGTTTTTAAATGATAGAGAAAAACCCAAAAAGCTAAAAGATATCCTTTGTTCTCCCTCATGGAACCCAAGGTCCACACTGCACAATTAAGAGAATCATATTTATTAGATTTTATGCAAATTTTGCCTCAGAAACATTTGCCTTTCTCCTCATTAATAACTTTTACTTGACCTGCTTTTAGAGTTGTTTCTTTATGAATAAATATAATCCCAGTATAATCTGGCCTTAATCTCAGGAGTTTGAAGTGTTTAATACACACTACCTGACAGGGAGGTAGCGACCCCACTGAATTGGTGAGGACAGACACGGCACAGACCTGGAATAGGTCCGTTGGTTGAAGTCCAGCTCACTGCTCTTGCCTCCAAAGCACATCAGATCACAAAAATCACTGACCCACAAACTCATCTGTTTCCATATTAATACTTCTTAACCTACACGAGCTCCATATTGAAAACCAGCGAGGTTCCTAACATACTCTTTAGCATCAACCATGTGAATTATTACCAAAGAAAAAAATAGAAACATAGACTGCAATGAACCTTTAAATCACTTTCAGTGACATCTTAGAAGCAATCACTGATTTTCCCTCATTGGTTTCATTAACAGACACTGTTTCAGCTCATCTTTACCTTTTGGTAGTTAAACTTACAGAATTTTTTTTCTCTTTAAATTAGACATGTTTTTTTGCAACCTTAGAAATTAAAGAGATGCTAGGGTTGAACAGAAGTGCTTTCTGAAGCGCCTTCCACAGTGATCATTCAGCTGCTATTTGAGTGCCACCAGGAAAAAGACCCTCACCTTTTTTTAACATTCCCCCTCCGTCTCCACACCTTTCGGCTGGTTACGTTTCATCATCTGCAACTCCTATTACCATGCTTTGGGCCTAGAGATGGACCTTGTTGCTCATCTGTCAACTCTACACTCATGTGCCAGTCACTCACAGGCGTTAATTCTTTCAGTGACACTGGCACTTGAAGCTCAGAGCAAGCATTCCTTGCCAAGGCTGCACAGCTAAGTAAATTGCCATTTGGATTTGAACTCAAAGTCTGCCAGACTCCAAAGATGGGATTATTTTAGATGCATGATGCTGCACCCCACTGAGCCCATCCCAGTGCCTTATACAAAGACAAAAGCCTAAAACTGTTTTTATGAATGAATCCACTACCTAGGAGAACTAAGTCTTGTTCCAGTACTTGGTAATAAGAGGTCTCAAGCACAATGAAGGAACAGCCTCTTCCTTTAAGAACTGATCGGAATGAGCTGTGTGTTTGGGCCTCCGTAACCTTTTAAGACCCAGCATGGTGAAAATGTAGTTAGGGCCTTGAGGGACACCTAAGTGAGCAAGGAGGGAGGCAGGAGGGCAGGTGGCGGCTAGCCATCCTCGAGAGCTGATGACAACGGTACCACTGTGCATAAGGCACTTTGTGGTTCCCAAAGCATCTCCCATATGCAGTGTGTTGACTCTCACATCAACCCTGTAAGATAAATGAGGCAGTGATCATTTTGCAGTTAAGGAAACAAGCACAGAGAAGGTAAGGTGCCAAGATCATAGTCAAGCAAGGGGGCTGGGTCTTTCTAATCATTTTCTCTGTGCCTTCCAGTTCATCACATACTAGAAAATTTGAAGGCAATATTTGCTGTTAATAAAGAATGAGTCATCTCAATCTGATATGTAATTACATATAACTTGTCACGTGGTAGTGGGACATAGATAGTAGACCTTTTACACAAACAAAAATTTTACTTTTGAGTTCACAGTTTGCAACTGGTCAGAGTCTCAGAATTTTAGAGCTGGAGAGACATTAGAGATCACATAGTTCATCCCCCAGTTTACAGACAGGAAGGACATCAGGTCCTTGTCTGTCTCATTCGCTGCCGTGCACTCAGCACCTAGAACACTGCCTGGCACACAGTAGGTGTGGGGTAGGTGTTTGCTGAGTGGATGTATGAATTTTTTGTGTGCTTACTCTAATTTAGAAGCTGTGCTGGCTCTCTCCAGTGTAACGCCCACAGTGGAGCGATGCCTCGGGTGACTGTGATGGGTAGTGAGCAGAGCCCAGAATACCCAGACCTGAGTGTGGAACTCTCCATAGCAGAGGACCTTGCCACCTAACACTGACAGGCGGAAGCTGTGGAGCAGTCGGACACTGTGCCAAAGCAGTCACGTCTCACACGAGGAGCCATGGCCGATGACGCCGGTGGCTCCCTGCCCTTCCCATGGGCTGCTGCACAGACACCCAGTGGCAATGCCACATGTCCACATCCGTGACTCTTCACCTCAAGACACATTAATTTCTCCAGTCTGGCAAGTTTCCCTAAAAAAGCTGTTTTCCAGAATCAGCTTTTTTCACTTTTATAATATAAGCTCTTTAGGACACGTAATGAAACAACATACAGTTTACTACCAGCAACGATATGGGGGATGACCCTTCCAAATGTCTGTTATTCATTCAACAGTCATTGAGCACTTATTACTAGGTGTCTGGCATCTGCTAGCTGAGGGTATGCTGTCAACCAAGACACAGCCACCAACCTTGAGTTTATAAATATATTAAGAAAGACAAACGGGTAATTTTAAGTGTAAAACTGTCTGATAGGAGAAAGCATGAAATGCTGTGGAATCAGAGACAGCTAATCCAGCTGAGCCAGAGAGGCTTCCTTAGAAGGATGATGTTTAGGCTGAGACTCAAAGAACAAGTAGGTTTTCGGGTGGAAGGAATAAAATATGCAGAGACCCAAGGGTGAGAAAGGGCATCATGCTTTTGTGGGGCTGCAGGTACTTCGTTATGACAGGGTCTTAGAATATAAGGGCAAGAGATGAGACCAGATTGGACCTCATCAGTGGAAGAACTGTGGGGAACCATTAAGTGGTTTTCAAGTAAGGGCATGAAAAATCTGATTCCACTTCAGAAATTTTAGTTGGAGGGAGTGGTGACAAATGAGTGACAGTAAGTTCAGATCTTTTAGGAAGCTGTTGTGGACAGCCAGGTGAGAGATCACTGTGACTTTAGTCAAAGATGTGGAGACGGGATGGATTTGATTTGAAAGTTGCTCCAGAAGTATATACAGGACTGGACAGCGGGTCAGACTTGGAGAACTCAGGGAGAAAACCCTGGTTTCATGTGTCAGAGCCGAGGGACTGGTGGGACTGTTCACTGAGACAGGTCAAAGGAATGGCCTCAAGGAGATGTCCAATAAGCAGGTGACAGGTTTGGGACTCACCAGCTAGAGATGTTTATTAAGTCAAAGATGGGCCTGGGTAGAATTACCCAGGAAGAGGGCCCATGGAGTGAGAAGACAGTTGGACCGAGGAAGGACCAGATCCCTGAGAGACCCTAACATGCAAAGGACAGGCAGGGGCGGAGGAGCCCAGGGAAGAAAGCTGGAAACCCAGGAGTGTGGCGTCGAGGAAAGCAGAGGGAAAGGACATTTTGAGAAGGAGGCTGCAAACAGCAGTATCTGGTGTAGCCAAGCAATTCTATGAGATAAGGGAGAGAGAAGGCCTTTGGATTGTACCGAGGTGCTTGCTGGGAGACCTTGTCTCAAAAGCAGCTGCCTTGGTGTGGTAGAGGTGAAGCCAGACTGCGTGGGTGGGAGGCCAAGTGGAAAGTGAAAACTTGGGGCCAAATCTAGGCAGCACTTTCAACAGGAAGGGGAGGTAAAAGTGAGAGATGGAGAGGGTGACAGTTAAAGGAGGACACCAGTCAAGATATTTGTGTTGTATGATGACAGAGGTCAAAGACCAAGGGCATAATTGAGGGTGTAAGGACCTAAGGAAGTGGGAGGGGTGGGACCCAGAGCCCAGCTGCAGTGATCGCTCCAGGGGGAGGGAGGCGAAGAGGGGAGTGCTGATGTGGGTGAGTGTGTGGGTGAGGTGGCAGGAAGTTGAAGGAGTTCCCATCAGATGGCTCTGTTTTCTCCGTGCAGGAGAAAGCAAGTTGGTCTGCCTGTGTAAGGGGCCAGAGGAGGCAGTGGACACTGGGAACAGTCTCTCTGAAGGATGGGAGAGATCTGACCAGGGTCAGGCAACTGCCAAGCACATTTAGGGGGCAGCTGCAGTGAGAGTCCCTGAACTTGCAACGGCACCATCTTTGGGGCCGATAGCAGCAGCTCCTAGCAGCCTGGCAGTAGGAATGGAAAAAATAAACAGTTGGTGGTTATGGTTTTGCATGGTGAAGGCAAGAGGGTAAGCAAATTGCTGGTCTAGAGCTAGCAAGAGAAGGAAGTGAAAACAAGAAGAGGTCATGAGAGAAACCAGGAGTCAAACATCTATTGAGGGCCTATTAAGTCTCTAGTAATGTGCAGGGGAACAGAAATACAAAGACAGGGCAATGTTCCCAAAACTGGCTGTGCTTCAGCATCAAGCTTAATAAAAATGCACATTTCCTGGCCTCATTCCTGGGGTCTGATAGGTCTGCAGTGGGAGGGCTCATATGACTCTTCTGTGGCCGGGTTTGGAAACCACTTGGTCCAATAGAAAAAGACCAGTAAACAGACATGGAATACACACAGTGCCATAACCCTGTGACTCTGGTCTACACAGGCTGCTGTGGAAGAAAGGGGGCTTCGCAGGAGGGGATGTAGAGAGGACGACAAACAAATTTTCCTAGAGAAGGTGAGCCTGTGCCTGAGTAGGCCCAGTGAATCAGCCGAGCAAAGAGGGAAGACGCCAAATAAGCCTTCCACGTATAGGGAACAGCATGTGCAAAGGCAGGCCGCATCTGTGGAACTCCAAGTCGTTTGGTGTGGCCGAGCACAGGGTGTAAACAGGGGAGTGGTGAGCCCTCTCAGGAGAAGGAAACAGGAGCCAGATTGTGCTGAGC